TCTCTGACATTTTGTAGGAAGGGGAGTTGAGCGTGTGTTACACAGGGAAAATAGCAACAGAACTGAGGGTTGTGTTCAAGCCCAGAAAATTAGACTAGAATACTCTTTCCACATCCTGCTGGCTTTTACCTCAGCTGTTAGCTGTGTGCCTTCCTGAAGTACAAGATGCTAGGATAACCACTGTGTGAAGTCACAGCTGTAGTGTTTTCTAACAAGCTCCTAGCACCGTGGGAAGCTGCACACACTCAGAGCTTAAGAATTGAAGAGCATAGGAGGGACTTGAACCTTATTTCTGAGTAGGCAGGCCAAAGTACTCTTTCTTTTGGGGGATTTTTCTTTCCAAGTACAGAACTTTACAATTTTTTAGATAAGCCTATGTCTTAGGTTAACTGGCCTTTCTTCTTGATAGGTGCTTTGTGTCATTTGAGCAGCACCTTAGCAGCTTTAACCATGCTATTTTACTACACTAAGGAGTGTAGATCAAGGACAAATTAGCTTCTGACATGCACACAGATTAAGTGGTCATTCATCACTCAACTTTGAGAAATGGCTAGAGTGTTGGATGCAGTAGCTGATTACTAGGCAGGAGTTCCTATGTCAGTGCTTATGGATCTTAACAATGTTTATGCAAATGATTTTCAGGAACAAAGAAAATTCATCACTCTTAGAATCAAATGAAGCGCAAGGTAAAAATAAACCAAAAAAGAGGAAGATTGCTGAAACCTCTAATGTTATCACAGAAACACTGCCATCTGCAGAATCAGAGCCTGTTGAAATTGAGGTTGAGATTGGAGAAGGGACGATGAAAGTGGAAGACGACAGCATTGAAACACTTGAAGAAGTAGCTTCTGCAGAGCAATCCATAAAGTACATACAGACAACAGGTACATCAGATGAATCTGCTTTGGCTCTTTTGGCAGATATCACCAGCAAGTATCGTCAGGGAGAGAGAAAATGCCAGATCCAAGAAGAAGGTGATAATGCAACTGATCCCTCGTGCAAACAGGTAGAAGGTATTGAAATTGTGGAACTTCAGCTGTCACACGTGAACAATTTATTCCACTGTGAGAAATGTAACCGTTCATTTAAATTGTTTTACCATTTTAAGGAACACATGAAAACACACTCTACTGAGAATTACAAGTGTGACATATGCAATAAAAGATACCTACGAGAGAGTGCTTTGAAACAGCACCTCACCTGTTACCACCTTGATGAAGGTGGTGTCAGCAAGAAGCAAAGACCTGGCAAGAAAATACATGTATGCCAGTACTGTGATAAGCAGTTTGACCACTTTGGACATTTTAAAGAGCACCTGCGGAAGCACACAGGTAAGAGCACTGCTACAGGCTTGTGGCCTTCGTTCTCACATTTTGGGGCTTCGCATGTTTTGGGGAAATAGAGAATATGCTGAAGAAAACACATGAGTCCTGAGTGATAGAAATACTTGGTTTCTAGTTACAGCTAAAATGCTGGTGTGTCTTTTTGTTTGTTTTTTTTGTTTTACATTGATGTAAACTTTTGAGGGATTGAGTTGATTAAAAATACAGAATCATAGAATCGATTGGGTTGGAAAAGACCTCCGAGATCATCGAGTCCAACCCTTGGTCCAAATCCAGTCCATTTACTAGATCATGGCACTCAGTGCCACGTCCAATCTGCGTTTAAAAATCTCCAGGGATGGTGAATCCACCACCTCTCTGGGCAGCCCATTCCAATGCCTGATTACTCTCTCTGTAAAGAATATGCATCTAAAACCAGAAGGCACTAATGAAGCTTCTCTGTCAAGTCTACTAAATCTTAAAGATTTTTTTCAAAATACCTTCTTAAGGCATGTTCCTTTCTTCAAAAGTACCAAACTAAGCTACTTTGATTTTCAGAATTTTCTGATAAAAGTTTCTGTTGAAATATGATCTGATCATGAGCTTCTTGGTGGAATACAGTCTAGAGCATTTCTTTATCTAATAGAACTTCTTAGCAAATGCCTATTAATGCATTAGACATAAAATACCCTCAAAAAATTCTCTCTTGTACCATCTTGTTTGGAAAGTTTTATCCTTGCTCTTGACACCTCATCTGTGATTTGAATTTTCTTTGTTAATTAAGCAAAACTACTAAGAACAGCAGGGCATTTCTAGTCACTCTAGTACACTTTTTGATTGTGAAATTTGCCTCTTTGAAATCTAGATAGCATTTTTGGAGTACAAAGTGACTTGTGCTCCTTATTTCTTCCTTATAGTATGGGACATTACTTCATCTCACTGAAAAGTCTACTGTCTGAACAGATACCAAGCGTGACACAGATAACTCTGAATGTAATATATATGTGGTCTTGATCTTCCAGATGTTTTTGTTTAATATGTCAGTCATCAGTCATCAGAAAAAATTTAATGGAGGGTAGCAGCTCTATTTCTGTTTCAGCTTCTTACTGTTAAAGCCTTTTCATTAGAATGGCTTAATTTAATTAAAATATATCTGTGTATGGGACTGCTGAGTATTGAATATATAGCAGTGTCCAGTCTATTCCAAAATAGCCTCTTAAAAGTTCAGTTTATAAATAGCTGTTGGCAAATCCTTATCCCCTATGAAGCAGGGAGTGTTTCTCCATTATGAGCAATCCAAATACAAGCTACTTAACAAAAATCTCTTCAGAAAAAAGTTTGTGCCAGATAACCAGATTAACCCAAAGTATGTAATATGTTGTTTGCTCTTGCAAAAAAGTATTTTTGGTTCAAAGGGAAGTTAGCATATCACAGAAGGTACAGAATACTTTATATATTGATCTAATAAGTATAACATGGAATCTAATTACTTCCAGTTTAGCATTTTCAAAAGCCTTAAGCTCAAAATCAAAACAGATATCACCATTAACTCATAAGGTCAGTGGAAAAACTCCCATTCCGTCACAGGCTTTCTGAATTCCAAATTCTGCATAGCACTGGTTGAATGCTAAAATGAAACTGAAAGGCCTGGGACAAAATGAACTAAAACGTGTTTGATCCTATTGTTGATCAGTCACTATGCCAGAAATTACATTAAAATAGTAACTGCAGCAGAAATAGAATCATAGAAAGGCTTAGGTTGGAAGGGATGTTAAATATCATCTGGTTACACCCCTGGGACCATGGGTAGGGAACCTTCCACTACACCAGGTTGCTCAGAGCCCCATCCAACCTGGCCTTGAACACTTCCAGGGATGGGACATCCACAACTTCTCTGGGGTGCCTCATTACCTTCTGAGTAAAGAATTTCTTCCTAGCATCTTATCTAAACCTACCGTCTTTCAGGTGAAGGCCATTCCCCCTTTGTTGTATCACTCCATACCATTGTAAAAAGTCCCTCTCCAGCCTTCCTGTAGGCTCGCTTTAAATACTGGAAGGTGCTGTACTGTCTCCCTGAAGCCTTTTCTTCCCCAGGCTGAACAACCCCAGTGCTCTCAGCCTGTCTTCACAGCATAGTTTCCAGGAGGATCTGCTCTGTGATTTTGCTGGGAGCAGAGGTGAGACTGACTGGCTTGTACTTCCCTTTGTCTTCCTTATTTTTCTTTTTTAAAATGGTTGTGCTTCTGCTTTTCTGGTCAGTGGGAACTTGACCAGGCTGCCACACCTTTTCAAAATTTATGGATAGTGGCTTCCTCCACCAACTCCCTCAGGACCTGCAGCTTTCTCTGTGTCCCAGGTAACCAGGTCTCCTATTTCCTTCTGGAGAGCACCCACATTTTTCCTAGTCTTTTTTTATCACCCCTGTATCTAGAGAAGCTTCTCTTGTTGCCCTTGGTGTCCCTGGTCAGGTTTAATTCTATGAGGTCTTTAGCCTTCCTCCCTAACCTTATCTCTCTCTGTTCAGACAGAAATCTCTCTGTATTCTTCCCAGGCTACCTGTCCTTGCTTTCACCACTCTAGGCTTCCTCTTTGTGTTTCAGTTTTTGCAGAAGCTCCTTGTTCGTCCACGCAGGTATCCCTCTGCTCTGTAGTATTGTAGTTAGTAGAGACCTTGAAAATCATCTAATTCCAACCTGATTAATTGCTTGGTCAAAATCCATGATTTTTGACCTGCAAAACTGAAGGCAGTTCAGCATCCTCTGCATTACTTTTACAACAGTCTCCAAAAAATGTAGCCTTTTGTAACCATTGAGGGCAATGTTCCTGTCATTTAAACATCTTTGTCTAGCTTTCAGGTGTTTTAAGTGAGAATTGTGGATTTCTTTTGAAAAGATAATTAGGAGCTTTTGAATATTTTTGAAGATGTGGGTTTATTGGCTTTCCACCTCAATATCTGGTAACTATTGCATTCCTGAAAATGCAGGCTTTTAAACTAACTCGGATAGATTCTTAGGTATTCACTGAAATGGCTCTTTGGAGTTCATTGAGCAGTTTGTTTTGCTAGTGATGTTGTACCTCCCCAGGTTAATTATCAGACTTTCAGAAGAAACACACTCTTCCAGTTTTCTTGTAATTTAATTTGCTTGAATTTCAGAGTGTTTGTGCATGGTGGAATGCACAAACAGAGAACAAAGAGAGACCTTTTGTTCATTACTACTTGATAATAGTACACTGCTTTAGATGATAAAAAGATCGGTTTTCAGCCTCCTCTGTTGTCATCCTTAGCTGGCTTCTGTGTTTGATACCATTGTTAAAAAGAAGTGGCCAAACTGAAAGGAATTTTATCTTGCTTGTGCCCATTTATGTCCTTCTGTGCTTGCTTTTCACTGTATTTTGGGAGAGGAGGGGGGGGTTTGTTCATTTTAACACTAATGGATCATTATTTCATTATCATTCATCATGTGCCACCTTCTTTTTCTGGAGCTCAGTTTCAGCTCTCAAGCATAAACTGTTACTGTTGTTAAAAATAAAAGTTTATATTATTTAGATACTTCTTTAATGTGTCACTTTGTATATTTCCTAATGTTGATATTTTAATTATAACAATTATCAGATGAAAAGTAGAAAAAGTTGCTATTTCTTTAAGATACTTCATTGGAATAGTAATCTAATTTCCACTAAATTTATTTTCACAAAAGCAAAATGTACCTTAAATGGTACTGGTCATTGTTACATTGGTTTTCTTCTAAATGAGAGTTATGACTCCACATTTGTTTTTTGCCCTTTTACATGGCATATCCATCTCTTCTTCTCTAGAATAATCCAGGTGGCCACATCTTTACAGTGAATTTATCAACCTAGACAAGAGGAAGAAAGGGGAAGAAGAGAGACCTGACAGAAGACTGGGTGGTTTTATACATTTACAAATCCTGTGTTTGTTTTAACAGGTGAAAAACCATTTGAATGTCCAAACTGCCATGAACGTTTTGCTAGGAATAGCACACTCAAATGTCACCTGACAGCCTGTCAGTCTGGAGCTGGAGCCAAAAAGGGAAGAAAGAAGCTCTACGAATGTCAGGTGGGTAATGGAAGTAGCAGAGTCCCAGGCTAGATACCTCCCTCCTTCGAGGGAGTGGGGGAACTGAACAAGAAAGGCAAGGAGAGTGGCCTTATGTCTCCAAGAGCTACCTCAGTAAAATAAAGATCACATTCAAACACAATATGCAGGTAAATTCTTATGTCTAAGTAGCTCCATTTAAAATGTGGAATTACTGATGTGGAGCCTCATAATACTTATAATCAGAGAGATTCTTACAGGAAGGCTGCCTTTTACTGGTCTTTCTGCTTCCTTTTCAAGGTTCTCGATGCACTGACCTAGGCCTTTTCCACTTCTGACCACGCTTCACTAAAGTTCAAAATACAAAATAATATTTTATTTTTTATTTTATTATTATTCTCTTTGGTACCACACATACTGACTTTATCTGGAAAGTAATTCCAGCTTATGCTGGTGTTGCCTAAAGATCGGGAGCCAAAAAAACTCCACGCAAATTTAATAAAGATAAGATAATAGAGCGGGTCTTTAAGGAAGGCCCTCTGACCATGGGAGTACAGAAAAGAGGCACGTGCACCGTGTCCAGTGGTTCTACAATTTTATAGTATTGTCCATCCAATCCCAGAACTATCTGCCCCCCAGTTCCTCCCCAAATCTGCCCCCAGCATGCCTCTCCAGAAATTGAGTCAGGGGTCCTGAGACCCCTTTCTTCCTCATCTTCCTCTTCTTCATGGCACATATTGTCTTTGGAGCTTCTCCAATGTTCCGGACTATGATGGTATCTTGTTGTTCAGGCGTGGGATGCAAATATTCTTAAACAGAAGATGTTTTCTACAATTCTACCTTGAAAGGAGCCTAAACAAGCCTAAAGAATTTAGAAAATTTGATATGAAATGGGGAAATAGGGTTTAGCGAGCGTAAACTACTAAAGTGTGAGAGACTCTACAATTATATTAAAAATCTATATTTACTACATAGCTACTTTAAAATCTACAAAAAGCTAAAAATCAAAAAAATTCAAATGTGTCACTGGCAATCTGTAATGTCTTTTAAGCAAAATAAATGCTGTAGAGGTTGTTAGGGTACTTGGTCACTGTATGTAACTGTCATTTGAAAAGCTGTTCAGATAAATTTTAATTCACTTTTAAAAGCAATTCTGAAGAGCTAGAAAATAAAAGAGCTGGTTGTAGCATTTTTATTTGCTGGTTTGCTGCCCCACTGCTGTGACAATCTCACACCACCAGGTGGGGGGCGGAGTGCTCCCCCTGTCCAGGGACTGACAGCTGCTCTGGGGCTGCCCCAGGAGGCTCCAAGGGTATGGGATATGACATCACCTCACCTCCATGAAATTTGACCTATCCCTTCCCTCCCCCCCACACACACACTTGAGTTGGTCCAAGCCAATAATTAATACACTAATCCAGCGTCTTACAATTGGTGACCCTTCGGTCTAATTACTTCATGTCAAAGCTTTGTCTTTCTATATTTCCTCATCCTCTCCCAGATGTTGTGACTGGCTTAGTACCTCTTCAGCCTGAAAAAGTTGCAGCAGGTCTTGGATAAATTTTTCTTTAATTTTTCACTTTTTTTCTTCAAATGCTCTACTGACTGACAAATTTTGTCAGTGTCCTATGCAGGCACAACTCAAAGTAGCTCACTGTTCTTAAAAAATGAATAAATAAATACCAAGTCTTCTGTTTGTCTGAAGCTTGCTTCTCAGCTTTTACATCTAATGTCTGTTTTTTGAATCCAAGTAGCAAGAAGCCACACTATGTGAAGCCATGATCTCAGAGAGGCACCATACTTTGTCATATTTCTGTTGGCACTGTTTAACATACTGTATCTTTTGTTTCAGGTTTGTAACAGCGTTTTTAACAGCTGGGATCAGTTCAAAGATCACTTGGTAATACACACTGGTGACAAACCCAACCACTGTACCTTGTGTGATTTGTGGTTTATGCAAGGCAGCGAGCTGAGAAGGCATCTCAAAGACATGCACAATATTTCAGAACTAGTGGTGACAGAAGAGGTTCTTCCAGTGGAAGCTATGGAAGCTGAACCAGTAACATCAATGACAATAATAGAGCAAGTTGAGCAAGTCCATGTCTTACCAGTAATTCAGGTACAGGTGGATCCTGCACAGGTAACTGTGGAACAGATGCACCAGGATCTCATACAGGACAATCAGGTCAAAGGCACACAGATGGAGGAACTGCAAGAACAAGTGCAAATTAGTTACTTGGAAGTTGAACACATTCAGACTGAACAAGGTGCTGAAGTTCATGTGGAGCAGTTACATGTTGAGCATGTAAATCAAATACAGATGGAAGAGGTACAGGCAGAACTTATAGATGGAACACACCTTGAACAAGTAGAATATCAAAGTGTTGATCAAGGAGAAGCAGAAGAAAAGGAACCTAATCAAATAGATGATGCGGATAAGGAACATCATGAACAAGCTGAAGACTTAAAAACACAACAATTAGCAGACATGCAGAATGAAAACGTGGATGACTAGGACAAATAATGACACTGCAGGTTTAGGAATGAAATACCAAATTATTTTTGTTAACTTTTACATTGGTTTTTGAACTGTCAGTGGTCACCTTTCCAATATGCTGTCCATAGGGAGCTGGACCAGTGGACCAAAATTAGCTTTATTCATGTACAATTAAACTTCTCTCATATGTGAAAAATAACTTTCCCATTCATGTAATGCCATGGAACAGAAGCTACCACAGACATGGACACCTTTGTGAGGTTTTTAGCAATTAATAGCTTGTATCATTGTTACACCATTCCTGGGTATATGTAAGAGTAATTTCACCTCTTTTCCTCTTGCAGTAGAAGCAAACTCTTGTATAGTATTGCAGGGTGTCTGTGGCAGGAGTATCACTAAAATCTGAGGGTTTCTATTGTAAGTGGCAATTACATACCTGTGAATTTTCGGATCTTTCAGGCTGGGCTAAAATTAGCATTGTTGCTGGAGGTGTCTGAGCACAAAAATCCCGTGCCTTTTCAGCACTGACTAGTTAAACTTCCCAAAAGTTTCTAGAGTTTTTGAGAATTTAGTTCTGTAAAAGGCAATGTAGGTAATGTTATAGTGCTTTATATTTTTGCTTAAAATTGTCAGCTACTGGTTTTCTTTTTGCATTAAATTTAGAGGTGGGGGGCTGAGGGAGGGAACAGATTCCACATGGAGGCAGCAGGACACTCTAAAAGGGACACTTAAAAATAGAAAAAACTTGGTAGAGTCTGTGGCAAAGACAAATTGGATAAAAGCTACTAGCAGACTCTTCTTTTATAAATAATCATTTTTGAAAATGGATATGTTTAAACATATAGAGATTTTTCTGTATGGTATCAGGTTCTTGTTTTTTTTGAAAAGAAATTCTGACACTTGACACAAAGATATGCTAAACATAAAAGTAAAAGCCATAGGTATGAGTGGTAAACTGTGGATTGAAAAGTAGAAATGTAAATAGTTTAATCAATATTAGACAATAAAACAATACCAACCATTAAATGTTGCATTACTTGTTTTATCCATTAGGAACAACTGAGTGGCAGTTACAGTGCCAGCTTCCAGTGTTAAGAATCAATCACATTTTTAATATGATTATTATCTCTTTACTGTAAAGTTAGATTCGTTTAGAAAATACTTGTCTATCTCTATGCTCAAGGATGCTAAGAACTACTAATTCTTAATTACTGCTGGAGGTTAGAGGTGCTCCACATTTCTGAAAAACTATTTTCAAAGCCTTAAATGGAGGAATTTTTGCAAGGACATTCCCTAATGCTCTTGGTAATCTTGTAGGTCTTAGCTAAAATCAGGCTTTTGTATTCCATGTTCAAATGCAGAACTATTTCCTGGGATTTGTGCATTTATTTAGTCTCATTCAAGAATATGTTTCATGTAGCTTTTGAGAAACTGTTGCAAAACAAACATGGATCTCAATTAAACTTTCAAGCAATTTGATTAATGTAACTTGCATTCTTTTTTTTATTATGTTTTGTGTTTTCTGGATGCAAGTAATTTGTGATGAGATTCTGTGCAGAGGGAAGAACGTGGCCCAGTGTTAATCATGAAAATAAAATCAGTTATTATATTTATACCTGGCTTCTGATAAGCAGCTTGTCTTTTGATAACATGGAGGGGACAGGCCTCCTTGCTTAGCTGCATAACGCTGAAATTGTGGGGGTATTTGTGCATATAGACAAAGTCAGTCTCTGTGGAATTAAAGGAAGGATCTGTGTGTCTGACCAGTGAAACCTACTTTTAAGTAATTAAAGTCCAATATCAACTGAGCAGTTTCTGGGTATTGGTAACAAGGCTTGGTAAACAAGGTTTGGTAAGCACAGTTGGGCCATTTCTTCATTCAGTTTGATCTCCCCTTTCCAACAACAGTTCATGAATTTGGTAGGAGAGAAACAAACAACACCCAAACCAGTGGTGTTGGGCCCACTGGTAACCCCTCTAGATTCCCTATGAGCCTGGGTGGGAGCATGATGGGATTATGACTCATCCCCTCCTCCCCCGAAGGGACAGGGAGAAAGGCTCTCCTCAAGTGGTAGCTCTGCTAGAGAGCCTTCCCCCTCTTCCCTGTAATTCCCTTCCCATATGACTGAAGCCCAGAATGCTCCCATCTGTGAAGTCCTTTGTGCCTCCTTGCTGCACCACCTGATCCTGAAGGAGGGAAGGTTGATGGGGGAGTGGAAGGTCTGGAAAAGCCACCTTGCCATCCTCTCTCAGCCCCCAGTGTCTGTATAGACACGCAGACCTGTCTAAGCTCCGTATTCCCTATGCACTGTTGGAAGAGTTCTTCCCTCTAAACACGCACGCACTGCAGGTCCCCGGAGCCCTGTGTGTCCTGGGAGTTGTACCTTGGAACTACGCCTGTCTGTAAGTTACTCCTGAAGGCGGGAAGGGGGAGCAGCTGTAGCTCCTGGGATGCGGGGCGGGGGGGGGGGGGGTCGGGACGGCCTGGAGGTGCCAGTGGGGAGCGGGGGCTGGTCGACGCCGCCCGGGGCCGGAGCTGTCCGAGGTTTGGAGGCTCCCGGGTGCCGGGGGTCTCTCCCGAGGGCAGCGAGGGGAGCGGTGTCAGGAGGCGGGGAAATGGCGCGGACGCCTGAGGGCAGGAAATGGCGGGCGGCGGGAAAGGGCCGGGGGTCTGCGGCGGCGCTGCTTCCTGGGATCGGGATCCCGGGAAGGGAAGGGCCGGACCGGCGGGGCCCTGCGGAGCCGGGGGTGGAGGTGGAGGGAGGCAGCTGGCCCTCAGGTACCCGCGCTTCCCTCGCCAGGGAGCCCAGCCAGCCTGGGCAGCGGGGATCCCGGGCTGCGTGCAGGCGAAAGAACCCCCCCCTCGAGCATCTGCTAAAATGCCGCTGAGGGAGTTACTACTGATAATTTCAGTAATAGCACGTCGCTGCTGTTCTAGTTTGTGAGTTGGATTGCCTAGAGGAAGTATCCTGGCGAAAAGGAATCATGGAGACATTCCAAACCCACCTGGACTCGAACCCGTGTTACCTATTCCGGGTTACCCCGCCTTGCCAGGGGCGTTGGACTGGATGGTCTCCAGTGGTCCCTTTCAACCCTAACGATTCGGTAACTCTGGCATTTCCCGGTGGGCTTATTGGTGCATTTTCCTAACGCTGAGGCTTTTTCAAAACCCTCGGAGCAACATGAGGCTATACCTCATAACGGGGAGTGGGTTCCATTTGTTACTTAAATGCAGATTCTTTGAGAGAAACACGTGTCTTATCTGACACCCTCTCACATTTAGAATTAATGGGAGCCTGAGGCAAAAATATTTTCATTCGAAGAAATCCCATCCTGTGCTTGACCATGGAAGGAGCAGAGACACACTACTAAGTTTTCTGGCTGGGTTGTTATTCCTTAGATAGTGTAATATTTCCATATAGCTCCAAAGCGTCAGGCACAGTCACTTAACAGCAGGTATCAGAAGAATGCTCCTTTAAGGATGTAGTCTGGCATTTCAGTTGATTCACACCAATAGATTTGTTGATATTATGGGTACACACATGTTCCAGCGTGTTTAAATGGTCCCAGTTCAGGAAGAAAACTGAAAACTGATGCTTGTTTTCAGAGAGAGAGGAGTGTTTGTTTATATGTATATTAAAAAAATCCACCTGAATTTAAGATGTATAAGTCTATCCAAAAGGGTCCTAAATTATATATATGATATTTTTTCTTGCACTATGTATTTACTTTTTAAATATTTTCTCAGATCTATACCAGTTCCAGGAGCTGAGCAATCTCATGACTGTAAATGAGCAAATAATTTGAGTTTATTTTTCCTGTCCACTTAAATATTATCATCCATCTTCTAGTGCCTTTAGTTCAACTGAGACTTCTTTTCTAAATAGTATCTTATCTCACAACGAGACGCAAGGACTTCATAGATAGATAGATAGATAGATAGATAGATAGATAGATAGATAGTAGGTCTGTTTGGGAACTACAAAATAGAGATGCCTGAATATGCTGATATTCTTATACTTAACAATTGCTTATTTGGAATATTTCCAAGTTGTTTTTTTTAAATCGCACCTTCTGGGGTATTTTAAAAATATTGTCCAGTTGTGGAGTCCATAGCTTTATTAGATGAAAATAGTGATTTTGTAAACTGAGAAAGGATTTGCACTATTGCAAATGCAAATAATTCATTATAATACATTCTGATCTTACTAGGCAATTTCGAAGGCAATTAAGTGGCACTGGAAAATATTTGTTTGTTCGTACTGCCTCCACATTGCAATAAACTGATCTATTAGCCCTTTGCTAAAAAGGATTTTTCTTTGGTTCCTGTAGGTTGAACTTCATAGCAGGATTTTCTGGATTTCACCTCTGAGGAAATGAGATGCTCCATGGAGTGGAGCCACTGCAAGTTCCTGTTCCACGAGATACACAGCACTGACCCAAGCAGACACAGCATCGTGGCAGCTGTAGAGCTTTGCTTGGGGAAGCACGTGTAACTGAGGTGGTTGTAAGATACATGTCCAAAAGGTGCTCTTAGAAGGATTAACTGCTTACAGCTGCGAATACCACACAACTTTTTCATGGCCAGTTGTAGCCTCCAGTGTTATTCCAAAGCCCTGGAAGTAGGGCGTGTTTGCTTCTTTTCCTGATTTTTACTGTGAGGTGGGAAATAAATTTCAACCTTTGAAATTCTTGGCTAACACTAGAAAAATCTCCAGCATGGCTCTTCCTTGTGTTTGGAAAGAAAGTAGTCCTTCATGCATAGACAGCTCTCTTTTGGGACACTTGGCAAACATTATTTAGCTCAGCCTCTAAGTCTTCCTGTAAAGTACATAAATGGCTTTTATTTTCCCCTTTTTAATTTTCTGTATTTTTTATGGTTACACAGACTAAATAATTCTGCAAGCAGGCAGTAATGGAACTGGAAACACTGTCCTGCTTTCTGACTTTCTCTCCTGAGGCATAAAACCAAAGACTCTTCCCAAAGACTCTTCTTATTGCAAGGAAAACAAGTTAGGAAAAAAGATAACTCCAAAATAGAAATCTTGCTTGAAATATGAGACTATGCCTAATGTGGGAAGTATAGGGATAATACTGAGTTTGTTATGCTTATAAAATAAATACAAATTTGCACACTCAGAACCACGAAAAATTACTTGGAAAACACTAATATTTTCTCAGAAATTATACATTTCCAACAGCTTCCAAGGATTTTCATTGCTTTAAGCATTCATTCATACGTTGAGCCTCTCTTCTGGTTGTGAATTGGTATTTTAAGATGCAGAGAGGGTTAGAGATTATACCACTCTCGATATCTGCAATGAAATAATTGTAAGTATGTCTGTGCTAGTGATAAATCTTCTTAGTGCTGCATGGAGACAGATCTGCTCGTAGAAGATTATTGGGATACATTTTCTGCTGGTTGTCATGACAATCACAAATCCATGCAGCTGCACAGCAGTGTATTAATCTGTGCGTGCAGTTTAATCCCGTTTCCAAATTAGATCATCAATACTGAACAGATAGATAACAGCTGGTTTAAATGCTGTCTGTTCACTTCTCTGAAAATAGCACCCGGAGTCCAGCCAGTACGCCTCCAGTTTTCTAGGAAGGACATGGTGTTAAGCCATGGAGCAATTTGCTGCTGTAATAGCAGTGTACAACTTGGCTCAGTGTCCCACGTCCCGTATTCTTCAGGTGTTTATAATTAATGTAATTTTTCTCAGTCTGAATTATGATGTCATTTATGTTTTAGAAATTATATCAGAAGTTTAAGGGCTCGATAGTCCCTCATTAAGAGAACCTGGTTATTACACTGTGTAGCAATGCGTGCTGATGCTATCATGACCTCTAAAGCTCTTGTTGCAAATTAAGGAGGTATTTAATCTGAAAGGAAGTTAAGAAACATGAGTATTCCCTGCAAGGCTGTTAGGGTGTGCTTGGAAACTCATCTGGCATTGAACAATTCAAGACAACTACTCCTGGTGTGTCTTGAACCTTCTTTCATTATTTTATAATTAGTGTATTTTATTATTTTGCAATTATTATTTCAATATTATTTCCATTATTATTTGCAATTATTACTTCCATAGCTTTTCGTGTAGTTTGCTGAAATGTACTTGTGAACTTCAGTGTTTGTAAAAGGTTTCATGAAGTCAAGGTAATCAGGCTCAGTTCACGTGGCCTCTTCTAGGGGCTGTGTTTGTGTAAAATGTCAGCCCTGTCCTGCACAGCAGGCCCATAGATAATGCAGTTTTCCTTAGAGCACACTTGAAAGAATCAGCTTTCCTTAGTCCTGCAGGAGTTGATTGCACTGGCAGTTGTCTTCTCTGCCCTGCCAGGCCACCATGAATTAATTGTGGGCTGAGAGGGACAGCATGAAAGTACACTAATAATTATAGAAGGATAGTCTACCAGCGCTTCTCAGTTTTGGTTTCATTTTTATGCATGACAGAGCAGTGTAAGTTTGGGGTTTTTTTCATTGGTTACGGATTCCATAGAATCCTCATTTGGTTTTGCAGAACTCAAGTTGAAGAGTTTCTTTCAATAAATAATAAATAATAAATAAAGTTCCACTTCTCTGGCCAAGCATGGCATTATTGCACTGAAGGAGAGCTGATCACTTACCAGCTTCAGTAAATCTAACATTTAAGATGAGTAATCAGTGTTTAATTTCCAGTGGCACATTTTCATTGGCATTTAAAGGGAAGTCTTTCTTTACTTACTTTCAGCAGTGCACAAGGCTGTTTGAGCTATCAAGTAGCATGCCAGAGGTGCATAGGGATTTGAGTTTTCCAGGGATGTTTAGCCAGGGATGTTAGCTTTTCAGAAATAATACTAATGCAAAGTGTCAGCTTCCACAGCATATCAATGACAAATTTTTATTTTAATTTGAAGTGTAATCAGCTCCATTTGGCAAAGATTTCTCTTGACAGCAGTTCAGTTGCAATTAAGATTGACAACTTTTTTCATAAGTAATGAAGATTTGTAAAGATTTTATTTCAGTGCCTTCTTGCTTATTCTTCCTTAGGGTTTTGCTTTGGGGTTTTTTAATCCCTTGTGCTTTTTTCTGTCCCAAACCCCTTTTGGTTTCTTGATATCACTTGAAACAGCTGATATCTTGCTAAGTAGAGAAAAATAAGATGCAGGTTTCCCTTCAGAATCAAAGCATAGGAGCATCAGTAAGAGCTGGGTTTGGCCTTTTTCCCGGATGCGGATTATATCATCCTCTTTGCTGGTCTCTGATGACCCTGGATTCAATGACCGCCTGTATTAGGGAGGGTTCAAAACCATACTGAAACTTGAAACCATGACACCGTTAAAAGCTTAACAAAAACCAATATTTATTACCAAGAGGTGGCCAACAAAACGAACAAACCCAAAAGGGAGGAAGGAGGAGAGAAATAAGCCCCCAGCACGACCTCCCCAGTTACCCAGCTGTTGCCCATACAGTTATCTTACCGACCTAGCATGCCTATAATTACCCCGAGCAGAAGCTGCATCCCTGGAGAGTCAGTAAGTTCACAAACTGGCAGGCGTCCCCGCCAATGGCAACATTGTCCTTGGTGTGAAGTTAGCTCCCCCCAAGAAAGCACTATCTGCTTTTTATGCAATTAATTGAGTGACCACAACCTCCCAGGTGTGGCCAGCACCGCCCAGCCCAAGGCCCTCAGTCCCACCTCCCGGTTATGTCAGTGCACCCCTTCTGCTCACGCGTGGCATTCCCTGCGCCTGCATATTGTACTCAGGGGGGTCTTTTCCAAATGAGTCTGGGGGCATCCTTCATCATCCTCCTAAATCTCTCCTTCAAGCGACCTTGGAGGACAACTAGCCAATCACGGAATACCAATTAAAACAGTTTGTACAAGAAGCTCTCTTCAAGGGCAACTTTCCGGTTTATCAGTGCTTGTTTTCCCATAACTTGGCAGGGAAAGAGCAAAGCTTTCACAGGTGGCAGGGCCAAGCACAGACCAAAAGTATCAGCATAAATTCACGCTGGTACACCGCCTGAGAACATGTTTGGTAGAAAAATCAAAGATTGAAGTTAAGAAATACCTGGAAACTAGCCCAACACATGACATGAATATTTAGTCATTAAGCAAATTATATTGAATATATAGGAATAGAGATTGGTGTTGCCAAAAATTCTGTACTTAGCAGAACAAACTCATTGTGACTGAGGCTTAATTCTTGCTAAACATCACATTATTTGGGTGTCTCACACAGAGCTATGCCCATGAAGCCTGATGTTGAGAAAATATTTTTTAACTTTTCTTCACATGAGGGGGTGATAGTTTCATGCATAAATTTTGTGTGTAAATTGCTGCATGGCTCTGCATCACAGTCAGTGAACTGTCTTCTGTCTAACCTTTTAGAAATTTACTTTAAAGGCGCTTATGGGTTTTTTAAGGCATGCCTGTAGGATAGTTGAGCAGTGATAGTGTTCTTCTGCACATGGAAAGACTGCATCTGAAACCCTTCTTCAGGGCTTAGGACAGGGATTCAAATACACCACCAAAATCTGAGTAGGTGTTCCAGTGATGAGGTTATTTTGTGGTAGGTCTTTTGACATGGGTTCTGTTGGGTTTGTTTTGTTTAAAAACATATGGAAGTTGTTTTATTCCGGATGTGGAATAACTTCACGTTCTTAAAAGAAACTAAATTGCCTTTATCAGCTCCACATAACCAACATATGGGGCCATACAGGACCTTTACTAAAAAAGATACTTTTTCGGGACATCGAATCTTGGGCTATTCATAGGGAAAAGACAACGATATCAATGAAACTGAAATGGTATCAATGACAATGGTATCAAGACAATGGTATCAATGAAACTGAAAAGTGGAGCCAACACATCAGTAACTCACCATAAGAATGTAGCTTCCTGTACAGATGTGTTGTTTCAGAAATTGTTTCCTTCAGAGAAGAGCCTGTCTTGGCAGTATCCTTGTTTTCTTCTCGGTTATTTTTCCTCTGTCCAGTCTGACCTGAGAACTTCTTAATGCTAAAAGCCTTTATGTGGCTGGATGAGTATACTAAATGATTTTGAATGTGCTGTATTGCACTGGGCTGCCCACAGTGACAGTGACATTTAACTGGAAATTGCTCCACCTGTTGACTTGCAATATCTTGGGGTGAATGGGAGAAGCTGTTTCCATTGACCTCCACTCCATGCTTTGCTCTCTTTAGGCAAGTGAGGAACAACCGCTGGCAGCCTGTTGGGAGGGAAAAGCTAGTGATAACAGCAGTGGGTGCTTTGGTGGTAGTCAGAGCCAGTGTGGGGAGAGGAATTGCGGCAACCCCAGTTCTCTGGCAGGTTTTCCTTGGATATCGCACATGTGAGTCTGTGGTGGCTATCTGCTTACACATGTGTCTGTGTGATAGGTACATTGTAAGATATAATTGAGTGTGGGATCAGAAGGATGTAAAATAGAAACGTGGAATTAGGGCTGTAGTACAGGGGGAAAAAGTTGAGTGAGAACCCTTGAGGTTACGTACTTTTATCTGACCCTGCTTTTGTTTTCCTGGTTCCGTCAAAGGAGCATATGTTTCTCTGATTTGTGTCCACACAGTGAGAAAAGCCTTCTTCTCATTTGATGTTACTATTCATGTCACCTTAGAAACAAGTGTAATTATCTGCAAATGTGAAGAAAAATGCTGAGAAAATTTTAAAGTCAGAGACAGTTTTGGTGAATGCATTCAGTAAAGGAGCCTGGGCTTTGAAGTCTTGCAGACTCAGCAATGGTCTTGATGTTGTGGCTGGTAATCTGCACAAAATGGTGCTACAGAGGAGCCTGGTTCCTGACTGTTGCAGCATGAAAATGAGAATCAATTCTTTGATTATATTGGAGCCTTTTTCCACCAAGGACCTGAGCTTCACTTGATAGATACTGAGATGACAATTAGGTGCAATACAGTTCCACAGAAATTTTATGCTTCAGAAATACTTTGTGAAGACTCCCTAAGTTTGGCAGCTTTAGCAATGGCAGTTCACTTTTGATGTTGGTCTCCGCTAATCCTCCCAGTAGTAAATATAGCGTGGTGTATTTAAGGGATCTCAGGGCTCTGAACAAGCACTGTCTGCCAAGGTCTCTGTAATTTTAAAGTTTATTTGGATTCTCATTCTGTTTGTATTTGTAGTCAAGTTTTACACTGCTACCATAATTTTCATATGTGTAAGACATTCTGCTAATAGAGAGATTGACAAATGTGTTTCAGTACAGAAGTGATATGGAGATGCTCAAAAGATGTCTGGTTTTTGTCTGAATCTTGAAGCATAAACACTAGGTCAGCTGGTGAAACCACTTGAGGAAGGATGAAAAAATGCCTCTAGTAACAGTATTTTTTCTGTCTTCCTCGAATTAGTATGTTAGAAATCAGAATTAAAAGACAATCTAAATTATTCTGAAATAATAATTGCAAGAAAACTTTGTTATAACTGGAATTCTCATATTGGCTGAAGGAAGAGAACTCAGCTTCATCAGGCCATATGTGAAGTCCCAGTATAATTTTTTTTTAATCTGATTCAGTAGCATTGCAGAACTTTTCAAAGCTCAGAATTCTGTCTTAAATTTACTGCTGTAATAAGAAGTTCAGATTTAGGAAATGTATTGTTAAGACTCCTTTACATGATGAGAAAGTCCATTGTTGGTACTAAAATAGGAAAGGTGAACAGATTCCTTCTTCATCACAAATGAGACTCTGTTGTTTTAATTTCATCCATCACACTAGCAGCCTTGGTCCTTTAGCAATCTTTCAAGTTCGATTCCAACAATTTATGAAACTTTGTGGTCATTTTTGTGTGATTGTCTTGGGCGTAAAGTAACAACTCATTAAAGCTGTTGGCTTAACCTGTTTACTTCTGTGAAGTGAACAGTACATACAAGCAGAAAGTTATGTGCATTTTTTGTTACTCTGGAAAAATATGTAAAACACCTTAAAGGAATACTAGGAGTATCCTCATCAGGGGTAGTAAGCAGAAGTTGTGGCATTGCCTAAAGTGAACAATACGTTAGTCTATGTGCACATCGCATTTCATTTTCATGAACAAGAATAGAGCATAGCAAGGAGAAGTTGCCTTTTTGCTTGGCTTTTGATTTAACTTTGCACACAAGTGGTGTATATGTTCAGTTCCGTATCATGTCTGTGAAAAATTGTGGAGTTCTGTCTGGAGAGTGCAGGGGGTGCAGGATATCAGCTTGATGCTGGCTTTGAGATGGGAAGAGGCTTTCAAATTAATGGTTCTCTGTTTTTGGAGTACGTGATCACTGCCGTAAATAACTCCATCCTTGCCTTTCGAGTGGTTAGGGGTACCCCCAGGTTTAAAATGAGAGACAGAAATGTATGAAGTTCTTTCATCCAGTAAACCAAATGATGCCAGCCCTGTGGTTTAGAGGTTATGAGAATAATCTCTTTCCAGTCCTGTTGAGCTCTGCATGGTGTCACCAGATTAAGTGGTGTGATTAGGTGGGTTAAGTACTAATTATATGAAGAGGATGCAAGAGACATGCATTTTCTTTCTTTTTCTCTCTCAGCTGGTGCTGTGGCACTGAGAAATGCTGCTGCCATGGAGAGACAGGAGAGTGAATATTGTCCATCAAGGTTGAGTCGGAGACCTTTGAAGGAACCAGAAGAAGCTCTTAATCATTGTGTTAGAGGCTGAAAAGCTTAGTGCCAGCAAAGCAGGCAGGTATAGCTCAAGGTAGTGTTGACTGTTCACACATGGTACATCACCAGGCAAGATTAAAGGCAGTGTCATGTCTACTCTGAGATGCTTGATGGAGAATTTCTTCAAATACACCTCTTCAGGAGCTGATCGTGAGGCTGCTTTCTGAGAGGCTTCAGGCTCTTAATGGAACTTGTTTGCTAGATAGAGGGTATAGGAGAGCAAATAAGTCAAATGTCCCCTCTTACCTGGAAGTAAAGCTGTTACTGCAAATACTGCAAATGTCTTCATTTCCAGACCTGATTTCTGCTATCACTCTGTAGTGCTAAAACAATGTAATGTCATTTGTAAATGGCTGTGAAGAGTAAAAGGTTTTGGTTTTGACTCTGCAGTTCTTCATGATGCAGTTTTTAATAATCAGGGATGTGGAAGGGTGCCCTTCTTGAGAAGGGGTGAGAACTTGGCCTTTTACTTCCAGAGGCTCTGACTGTGCCCAGGCTGATGTCCTGCCCAGCACCTGGCAAGTCAGAGTTTGTCCTGAGAGAATGTAAGCTTCTGGATTGCCAGCTGCACTTTGTTCAGATTTCAGGGCAACATTAAGCATTTCGTGTCTTATCTTGCTGGCCTCATGGTGTTAGCCTGTGTAGTTGGAAAAGCTGAACAGGCCCTTCCTCTGTATCTCTTGTTCCCATTTTCCTCTATTTGCAAAAGCTGTCCTAGAAACCTTAGCAGGTCTTATGACTTTATGTTTTTAAATGACATGTCACATGATCCACCAGTGACACTGTGTGCCTTTAGTAGTACACCAAAGCATCATTGTGGTTTTAAAGTCATATTTTTTTCTCAGAACCCTTTCCTGCTGGTAATATAATTTCATGTGCATACCACTTAAACAGCAGTTGCATTCATAAGTGTCTTGAAAAAACTCTTATCCAAGAGGTTTTTATAGTTTATAATGATAAATGGAAAAAAAATATGTTGTGCTCAAGCAATTATCACCATTAAAGTAGTACAGACTCTTACAATTTTTTTACTCTCTCCATTTTTTTCTCTTTCCTTTCTCTTTTTTTCCTAAACACTAATTATGAACTAGTTCCTCTGATTGTTTTCCTATCATTTTTTTCCCCCCATTTTACAAAGTAAAATGAAATTAGAGTTTTTTCCCTTACATTGAATTTTGCTTCCCTCAGGCAGCTGCTCTTTCTTGAGCTGATAGAAGGCTGCTGGAAAGGGGTAGAGCATTAAGCAAATCCGGGATAGATTAGTCAGTGAATGAACCACTAGCAGCATTACATTGTCATCTGTTTAAAAATAGATTGCTATTTCAGAACTTTAGTCTAATAGGAATAGCTTATAAACTCTTCTGCATGTCTCTAGTCTCAGATGCATTTCTGGATTCTCATATGAAATTCTCCTGCAGGTTTCTTCAAGGAGAAAATAGAGGGAAGGTGAGGAACTGGAGTATCTTACCTGTAGACTTTTAAGTAAACGTGGGCTTTCAGATTGTATTGTGTGAATGATGGCTGTAATGGAACTGCACTGGGGGAGTGGATCCTTGCAGGGAAGATTATGGTTTAAATTCTAAAATTTAAAATTTGCTTATGCTGTACTTCAGTGTATATTTGCTTTTTGCTTCTGTAGTGAACCTATACTTCCTGAAATCATGGAATGTAATTTGTATCTGTGTAATACCATAGAGTTACATGTAAGAATAGAGTTACATGTAATGCCGTGGACTTATTCTTAATTTCCATTTTTCAAATTTGACAAAATCTTGTCCCTAAACTTGAACATTGAATGTGTTACTCATTAGCATTTTAACAAAATATCAACTGTCTTAGCTTTTGAGATGTTTTGTGGTCTTCTGTGTGGTAAGTGTTATGATCTTTTGTATGGCAGTTCATGCCAGATGATATATATTTAGCTGTTCCAAAAATCTTTGGAAAAACAGTTCCCTTTCCAGTGGATTTAATTAGAAAAAGTAAAGTAGAAAGAACACTGATGGGTTTCCTAATGCTGCTGGATACTCAGATTTGCACTGTTCTTTCTAATGGAACATTGTTTACCTTCATTTTGACAATAATAATAATAATAATAATAATAATAATAATAGTCTGAGTTCAAGGACACATACTGAACAAATGCCAATGAGATTAGCTAATGAAATTAAATACTAACCAAATGTATAAACATTAATATTCACTCAAGTCAGGAAAGGTTTTGCTGTTCAAATGTGATATGAAAAGTAGGATGGTTTTTAGGGATTTGAGATGTAGCAGCTTTTTTTTGCATGACTCTGCCTTTCAGTGAATCAGTAGTGAGACCTGTACTGCTTGGCCCTCTGTAGTGTTCCTCTTTTGCACCTTCCCAGCCAGAAGGGTCTTGGTCTGTGCCTGCCCCCAAACACTGGCAGCTTTCCCTGCCTTCAAACCCTGGCTTCTTTGCTGATCCTTGCAGCAGAACAAGGCAGTTGCCTAAACCTGTTGGTGAACAGCCTCCTCAGCACACACTGATGTATTTGAACATTTGGTTTGAGAGACAATATTATGAATTTTTCAGTGCTCCAAAACCAGATAAGTTTAAGGGGGAGGGGAAAAAAAGGCTTATAAAAGAGCCTGGGATTGCATGTGAAGCATTTAGCAGCAATACTGAAGCCAAAGTCACAAAAGAAGAGTAAAATCTAGAGTTGTGTTCTATCTTCTTTGGGTTAATATCCCTCACTTAGGATCCTTACTATGCATCACAGCAGATTAAACTGAGAGAACAGCTGAATTTGCAGTGGGCTGTCTTGAATATTTCTTGCTGACATTACACTTTTTCTCTAGATCCCAGTTTCAAAAATACCTGTCCTAATTTCACTCCTGCTCTCAATCCAGTGGAAAAGGAATCTTTAGTGGGCAAGATATCTGTTATATCTTTTCAAATTGCTCCCTGAAGAATAATATCAACTGCTTTTCTTCTGCCCAGATACACTGAAAAATCACCTTATAAGTACTTAACCTTTTAGTTCTCAGTACTTTTGAGGAGTGCATATAGAGTGATAAACTTGATTACATTGTAAGAGGTAATGTTTCTATTTGCTAGGGCCAATCTAGTAAGTGAGGAGTAGTGAAACAAAACTATGATAGGCAATCCAAACCAGAACATTTTCTGTTTTTCTTGTATGGAAATACATTTTAAATTTCTCTTCCTTGCAAATAATGGTAGGGTGATTTTATTGCAGGCCACCTACTTAGCAATGCTTATCTGCCTAAATATATAATCATTTTCTTGATATGAGTAAAGACTGATTTCTTCTGTGATTTCAGTGGGACTCAAAGTATTGCCTATTTCTTACTTCTTGTACAACAGTTTGCTTTTTCCAGAGGATTTCTTTTATTTTCACGGAAAACTTATATGTCAAAATCATTTTTAGTGAAATAACTGAATTAGATGTGAGTTTTTTCTGTTATTTAAAAGGCATCTCTGTTGACTTTGAATACATGTTTAATGGAAACTGATTTTATCCTAGAAGAACAGTTTCAAGGCACATTGACCAATTTGCGTTATACCTCAGGAAAGGAAATCAAATAGACTGGCCGGGTCAAAGTTTTGAAGGGTAAATTTAATTTCAAAAGACAGTCAGACTTCAAATTATTCCCTCCCATGTATTTCAAAGACCTGGGAAATCAATGGGCTCTGCTAATAAATTCTTTTTTTGTCTTTGCTTTTAACGCAATTTTCTGCACAATTCAAAGACAAAGTAATTAATTTTAATTTTCTTTCTAGCTGTGAAAGGATGAAAGGGATTTTTTTCCCCCTTCATTTTAGTTTCTACTTCACAAGTATTAATGTATTAGCTTAGTATTGTTTGTGTTGCGTTGATTGTTATGCATTGATTTTCTTTTCCATATACCCTAAGCACTCTACAGACTGTGGATTTGATGTGAGGCTCCACCAGGTGGGCTGCACCCAGCCGGTGTTGGTAGGCTTACATGATCTTTGAGTGCTGAGGGCTCTGTGCATCCTTCCTTCATCTCTCATCCAAGAGCTTATGCCAGCCAGTCAGCAGATAACCCCTGGGGAGGTGGAAAGGTGAGTCTGTGCTGCACCCTGATATCAGTGTGGCAAGAACTGCCTGTCAGTCCCTGGTGGGTCTTGTGAGTCAAGCTGGAACGCTCCCTAGACACAGCCAGTCACTGCCTAAAGATCATGGAAAGATCTTTTAAGGCTGGGTTACAGATTAGGGCACACCAGTGTGTTTTTCCTCAATCTCCCATCTCTGGTTTTGACAAGAAGGAAGTTGGACTAAATGAACATGGGAACTTGCTTGGATCTATAGTTTTCTTCTACGGTGACCTGTGCCAAGTTGTGCTTTCCATGCTCCTGCCTGTATCCCGTCAGCAGCTCTGGGAATAGGCTGATCAGGTAAAATCCTTGAGAGATCAGGTTCCATCAGTGAAATAACTGTGTTTGTCTTTAGGGGTCCATTCCAGAACGAGTGTGGGATCAACCCAGAAGATAAGGGTTTTCAGTCTTTCTGGTGCAGTTAAGGACACTTGAGCAAGCATCCACATGTATCCTGCTTCAGTATGCAGGGCTCAGGCTTATTAAACTTCTAAATAGGTTTCAAAGTCCATTGTTTTCTCCTCTGAGTTACAATTGTAGAATTAAGTTGTAGGCAAGAGTTGGTGTGTTCTAATGTGGAGGGGTGGTTTTGTGGCTGTTTTTTCCTTTTTACATCAGAATTGTTGTTTTCTTGGTTTGATAACAGTGTGTACAACAGAAGGTGGTTGTGGTGAAGGAGTCAGTACAGTTTCACATAGAATCCACTGGAGGTGTTTATGTTCTGTTTCAGCCAGGGCTGCTGCATATGTTAGTATTCTGTATGTGGAAAAACAATGCCGTGTCTTAGGCAAGAATATTTATAAGGCTGAGAATGATAGAATCATTTAGGTCGGAATATCCTTAAGATGATTAAGGTCAACATGTCATGGTTTAACATTGCAGTGAAGTTCTCCCCTTGCCCCTGCTCCAGCTTGGACTTACTCACAGATCACAGGATTGTACCTGCTTGGAGTGGAGCTTTATCTCTGAGCCAGTCTCCTCAGAGATATATATACCTGCTCTAGGAGAGACTTATCCACAGCCACAGTGGCTTTGAAATGCACCATAATCCCTTTAGAGGCATACTAGCTGTGGCACAGTCATAACCACGGCCACAGATGCTTTGAGATGCACCTGCTCCCACATGGACTCATCTGCAGGTCACAGTCCCTTCAGCTCGAGTTCCCACAGGAGTTCCAGCCTGTCCAGCACAGCACAGGAACAGCAGTGATGCCTTGGTCACCTGCCAGCTCAGGGGCATCACTGTGGCTGCTATCAAAGCGTTCCCAGGCACAGCA